TCAACCTTAATTGATTTTATATTAATAGCTATTAATATAATATTAACATCGTTTTCAGATATGGATTCATTAGGTATATTCGATTGGTCAAATAATAACAATGTTGTTTATTTATCATCCAATCCACAAAAACGTACCTTAGTACCATTTATACCATTATCGAATGATGGATCATATACATTAGAATTTACATTATTATTTTTCGAATATACCACCATCATTGACATATAAATTTGAAAAGAATAAATTCAAACAATGATGAAACAATTATCGACTTATCTATTCGAACAATGATTGAAAATATCGTCATCAAATAAATGATAAATATCGAATACTTTTATTACATTTCTTGATTCATAATGAATCATCAAATGAACAAGCTATTTATGATCAATATAATCAACGTTTATTTGGTTATGTAGTCACTGCTATTGCAACAATATTAAAATCATTTTCAGATATCGATCTAGCAGGTATATTTGATCGTTCAAATAATGATAATTTCGCTTAGCTATTATTAAATACAAAAAGAAAAAACTTTCATTATCACCAATTATACTTCGTCTTACACAAATATCAATTATAGTTATTCGTATTCTACAACACTTAATATCAAATAATGAAAATGATATACAATATATACATGTTGTTATTATTTATTAAAAACAAATAAATTTCCATCGAACGAACGAAATCATATGTATTTATATTTATACATAATCTAGCTGTTGACCCACGAAACTGATATAAAATATGTTCACATGTTAAAATGATATTCGAAAAAATTCAACACAACTCATACTATTTCTTCCATCTCTTCAATATGAACAAAATACTCATGTGTGTGGACACGTATCTGTTACGGAGGGAAGGAATGTTAGCGGTGATTCAATATCACCCTTCCCTCAATGTCTTTCTACCTTTCTTTCTCTTGCACTGTTACTGTTATTGCTATTGTTATATCTCTCTCTCTTTTTTTTTCTTCTCTTTGTATGTTGTTATATATATGTACGTGTTGTTAAGGACATTTTGATATATATTTATAGATATATAGATAGATAGATAAATAAATAAATAAATAAACGTAAGCTCGTCGAAGCGAGCTAACAGCTTTACTTCAAATGAGTAAAAAGTAAAATCCATCTTTGCGAAATTATTTAGTAAATCAAAATAAATGAAAAAAAGATCTTCTGTGTCGCTGTGTATTTTCACTGGTTTACATTGTTTACGTATTATTGCTCTTTCCTAGCTATCTTCCCTACGTATGCCCGTTTTATTTTGTTTGTTACTTTATTCCTTGAATTACTTTTTGATGTTCTATTCATCTTTTTTTTGTTGATAAATGAACCTATCAGATCAGAACGTACCGAATATTGAATCGATTTCAAGTTTATTTTAATCATATTCATTTTTTTTTTCTGATATATGATAATCTATTCATTTGACGCATTTTTTAAACATTTTAATATTAAACAGAAATAAATAAATATAAAGAAAAACCAATTTAGGTGAACCATGTTTAATTTTCATTTTTCAATAACACTAATTTTCATAGAAAAAAAAACCCGATGTTCATGTAAGCATGCATTTTCTTCCTATCAAATAAAATTCAATAAACAGGAACTATGAAAAATATCATTTAAACAATATAGACTTTCTCAGATGGTTTTACTATGCAGATGGAAATTAAAATGATCTTACATGCCACTGTATTTGTATTTCTCTGATATAATTTTCCTATGTCATTTATTTTTCCGAATACTTTACGACGATCAACATCATTTTTTCAATCTTTTTGCGAAAATATATTGGCTGTTTTTAGCTATTAAAAATTTTGATGCGGAAAATCTATACGAAGCGAACAAGCTATATAGAAAATGAGACAGATATTTTTAGACCAAATTTGTACTTAAAGTGCGTCTTTGTATGTATGAACGATGTACAAGAATAGTAATAGCTGTTTGACGTATTTTATCAATAAAAATAAGCCATATGTTGATAATATATTATTTTCTGCGCAGTAATGCATAAAAAGAATCCTTTTTTAACCATTGAAACATCTACTATATGTTATTTATGTCTTGTAACTCAAATAAGTAAGTAGTCTAGTTAGTTGATCATATTTAGTTTTTTTTCAGAACTTTATCAGATGTGTCCATTCTTCAAAATTTATAGATAGTATCATATGAAAAATACTTAACAATGTTCAAAGTAATTTCTACATTTCTGCTTGATTCATGTTCAATAGAATGTAAGAGTGGCTATGATACCTGATAGAAAAACGATCATAGAGTGTTTTCATGCGTTTAAAGCATTCTCTTTCGAGATTTGCATCTGTTTGATTGACATTGATTCAATTATGACCTTAATCAGTTAGATACGTTTCTTGCTACTGTATACCATTGAAATCAGTGCTCGATCCAAATCAAATTCTCATTGACTACAATGTGAGTATTGACAAGAACATTTAGAAAATGTATATTCAATACTTTGAATTACTTGATAATGAGCCAATTGCTCTCCGAAACAAAAGCAATCTATATACGATGAAGATAATACTTTGTAATTACTACCATTTTTTTTCATTTCATTAGAGTATCAATTGTTTTACTAATAAGGTGGAATAGATAAGAGAATGGTATTGTGCACCGTGACATATTTTTTTTAACGACAATTAAATTCGATACTTTTGTTGGTCAATTTCTTTCCGTCAGTTAAATATTGGCACAGCCTTGCATTTTAATAGAAAATTGAGGATTATCCAATACTTATTAAACTATCATCAATCTTCGTTGTATGTGAGTTGGCATCATTGTTATTACCAGTGATACCAATGGCTAAAGTAAACTATGATGAAAACTACTTAAATCTTCATAGAAGGAATTTTTTTCATGATTACAGAAGAGAAGGAAAATTTAAAAATGTTTTGAGAATGTAATAAGCATAATCTTGCTCTCTGAAAAATGACAAATCGTCAAAAATGGTGAACATCCACCAAAATCCAAGGATAATTTTTCCCTTGCGGATAATAATACTTATTGCATAAAACCTTTCTTATATTGTTCCTTGTATAGAATGGCTCAAACAACAGATGATGTTTCTACTTATGACTATATTATCATTGGAGGTGGAACCACTGGTATAGTTGCAGCTCGACGTTTGGCAGAGAATAATGCTAACTTTAGTGTATGTATTCTTGAAGCAGGTCCAAGGTATGTTTGTTTGTTCATATTAATGTTTTTATTTCAAAAAACCTATTCTTTTTTTATGACAGTAATGAGGATATAGTCAACAGTCATATGCCTGGTGGTTGGATATTGATGCAAAAAACTCCAGTCGATTGGTGCTACGAAACTGTTCCTCAAAAAGGATGTAATAATCGTATTATATCTCTTCCACGAGGTCGTTTACTTGGTGGCTGTAGTGCAGCCAATGGTACATTAGTTACTCGTGGTCCCAAAGCCGATTATGATCGAATTGCCGATATGGGAAATCCAGGATGGAGTTGGAAAGAAATGTTACCATTCTTTAAAGCATCTGAAACATTTCATCCAGCTGAATGGCATCAGGCAGACTTAAATATACATGGAACTGATGGACCTTTACATATCTCCATGAGTCCTCTTGCACCCATAGGTGAAAAAATTCTTGAATCATTTATCGATAGTGGTTTTGATTACAAACCAGATATGTTTGTTCAAGGAGAGTATGAAGGTTTGTTCCATTTTTTTCTACAATAACATTGATATAAGCATTAATTAGGTGTTGGGCACGTTGGTCGTACAGCTTACAATGGTATTCGTTCAACAAGTGCAGATTTTATTAACAAATACGATAAAACAAATCTTATAGTTCGAACAGGTGCATTTGTGGATAGAATCATTCTGGAAAAGAGTGATGAAAAAGAAGGTGAATACAAAGCAGTCGGCGTGGAAGCACATGATAATACAAATAGTCAACCGATAATTATCAAAGCGAACAAAGAAATTATTTTAAGTGCTGGGTATGATAATCTTTTCATTCTTTGAGGAGAAACAATGACCTTATGATAGAATCAATTCACTCTCGTTCTTTTGAAAAATCTTCTCTGAAAATAGGCATAGTTAATTCCTGAAATGAAAACGTGTGAAGTTACATTTTCTAATATAAATGTGTTACAACGTTTTTGATTTAGTGCTTATAATTCTCCAATGGTTTTGATGCATTCTGGTATTGGTTCGGAAAAGCATCTTAACGAAGTGGGGATTGGTTGTAAAATTAATTTACCTGGTGTTGGTGAAAATCTTCAAGATCATATAATTGTATGAATAGATTTTTCAACTTATTCAAATAATAATTAATATTATTAATCAGGTTTGCACGTCCTATCAAGTGAACGATCCGAATCTCACATACGATCGATTTCTTTATCATCATCCAGATGGTCTTACATTAGCGGTCAAAGAATGGCAAGACACTAAGACAGGCGTAATGACGAGTTTGCCGCTCGCTGTTATGGCTCTTACCAGAATCGACAAAACGATTCAAGATCCTGCTTGGGAAGCTGCAAAAGCCAAACAACAGAGCAAAAATTCATCAAACTCTGATCCAACTGGACAGTGGCCGAATCAACCTCATATCGAACTCATTACTACTCAGTTATATATGGGCCTACCTGACTTTTTAGATGCTGGTTAGTTAATTCTGTGTCCAAAATCTTTTAGCTATTCTGTATTTGTAAGTATTTCTGTAAATGTAAAGGAATGACCTTTCAAATTGTAAGACAAATGGAATATAGCATGTAGAACTCTAATGCAATTGTTAACTTATAGGAATTGTGAACATGCCTATCAGATGAACTGACCTCTCCCTCATGTAAATATTCTTTGAATTTTCCTTGAATGCAAGCATATATCTGAGCACATAATTCGAATTGAGAGGAGAACATTCATCTATGGATTCCATAGAATTACTTTTAATTGTATATTTTAAACAGGTGAATCTTAACTTTATGTATATCTATGTCACCTGTATTTATAGATGGACTTCCATACAATCCAGTGAATGGTGAAGGCATCTTTACTACGGTTGCTTTTCTTTGTGGACAACAAGCAAGAGGTACAGTACGATTATCATTCAAAGATCCGACTAGCAAGCCAATAATTGATCATGCTTATCTTGATAATGATCTTGATGTTGCAGTACTTGCTGAAGGTTGTCGATTGTGTCATGAAATCATAATGAAGGGTCGAGGAACAAAAGATATTATCGTTGGTGCTTGGCCAAAGATAGTTCCGCATCCAAATGATATGATTGGTTGGAAAGAGCATGTACGAGCATTTGCAAGTACCTGTTTTCATCCAGGTGGAACATGCAAAATGGCACCTGACAATGATCCCATGGGAGTAGTTGATAGTCGTCTTCGTGTGAGGAATGTTAAAGGATTGCGAGTGGCAGATGTATCCATTCTGCCTCTTCTCAACAATGGTCATCCGCAAATACTCGCATATGCAATTGGTGAAAAGGCCGCATCTTTGATTTTAGAAGATGACGGTGTTTCAAAGTAATTTCCAACGATCCATAAAGTTGAACAATTGTTGAAATTATTAAAAGACTTACAAATTAATTATAATAATAATTCCGCACTATTTTGATTCGTATCCTATTTTAATCGATTTTTATGAATAAAAAGCATGAATACAAAACTTAAACTCGAATGTACATATTTAGACGAATGAAGGGTGTGGTGTGGGTGGGTGCGGGTGTAGGTGTGAGTGTGGCTGTGGGTGTGGGGTGTCGGTGTGGGTATTGGTGTCTTTTTTCTGTTAATCTGCGAGAACACCCATACCCACACCCCCACTTCCACCCACACTCTAGTGGCGTATTTCGTTGAAATTGGCTTTATTATTCAAAATTATAGACTACTTCAATGAATCCTATTTTCTGGAGGAATAGGTGTGGCCATTTCGCTAATTTCATTGATAGTCATAAATAAAGTCATGAGCAGTGCATACTTTGACAGAGTCGGCGACTTGATACTTCAGTGAGTATCACTGTTTCGGTGAACCCTGACACCAGTGCCGTCAGTGTTAGTGTATGCACTGGTTCAGTGAACATTAATATCAGTGCAGTCAGTGTCAGTATATGCACTGGTTCAGTGAATATTAATGTCGGTGTCAGTGTGTCACTGTCAATAATTCACTGTTTTGATCGAAACTGCACATCCCTATTCCAATAATATAAAATAAAAAATGATATTCTTTGTTTTATTAAATGAACTTACTGTAGAAGTGTGTTAACGACGGTAATATGTATGGATCATGTTTTAATCGAGATGAAACTACGTTATGAATATTTGAATCACGTTGAATATCACGTAATTCACTACATGCTTTTAGAGTCTGTATAATAGTCCAGTTTGAACATTTTTCAATATTATTTATATGTTTATCGATTAAT